TTACAATTTCAATCTGCTGGCATGTTGACCTCTTGTGCCTGCTGGGTGTTTAAGGCCATTTCGGTCTTCATACAGTAAATATCCATCATCTTCTTATCAGTGACATACATCTAAACCAGGGGTTCCCATACTCGGTCCTGGAGGGCCGGTGTCCTGCAAAGTTTAGTTCCAATCCCAAATAGACGCACCTTGGCTAGCTAATCAATCTTATACTAGGCTTTCTAGAAACATCCGTGCAGGTGTGTTGAGGCAAGTTGGAGCTAAAATCTGCAGGAAATCGACCCTCCATGACTATGTTTGAGCATCCCTGATCTAAACAGTCTCTGGGTCAATTCGTGTAAAGATTTTAAACATCTTCTTGGACACTTTTAATGCTTCCAAACAGTTTGCTGCAATGTAAAGTGCACATGTGTTGAAGTAGTTCATTATGATGCAATTTACCTTCTATGTGTGATTTGATTGGACAGGAATTACTGAACTGATTTTTCTAATTCCCATGAACTAAAAAAAAAAGTAGTGACTGCAGGTTGAAGGAAAGTAGTGGAGTAAAAGTACAGATTCTGCACTAAAAATGTACTCAAGGAAAAGTAAAAGTACACATTTTTAAAACTACTTAGTAAATTACAATTTCTGAGAACAACTACTTAATTACAGTAACCAAACAAATTTCGCTGTATGACTACAATGACAATAAAGGTTCTTTACTTTACTTACTTGAGTATTGACCGAATAGCAACATCATTTGATATCATTATTGGACATCAAAATAACGTTGTCCTTAGACGCTGCCTAGATGTTGATTTTTGGTCATCTGACACCACAACCTAAATCTAACCTAATATTAACGTCTATGACGCTGTGTGCCTGCTGGGCAATGACTAGATGCATTACAAAATGTTATATTTACACACATACTCAAATTACATGTAATTGCGTCAGCTTTTAACAGCGTAATACTCACCACTCACTACTCTTGAGAACTTTTGAAAGGTCTACTTTTTACTCCTACTTTGAGTAATATTTTGAGCAGATACTTTTACTTTACTCTCACTACATTTTTATGCAAGTAATGGTACTTTTTCTTGAGTATGATTTTTCAGTACTCTTTCCACCACTGATTATGGGCATATGAATCCAAGTTACATCTCTAAATAAGAAAATAAGAACACATTCTTTGAATGTCCCAGAAAAGTTAAAATGTACCAGATAATCATCATATAACTTGAGTGTTAAATAGATGACAAACTAAACCTACCCCTTTTTAAACCACCTACCCAAAAAATACTCTTGGATTTTCACAAAATACGTTGATTGTTCCAAATAAAATAACTGTAAAATAAAATATGTAGATCAGTTTCCACGCCAACAAGGCTTGAAAGCAGAAAGCAGAAAGCTTTACTGGCAATTTCTCAATCCTATAATTACATAATAATAGAAAAGACCTCCAAGTTGGTTAAAAAATAAAATTGGGAATAAAATTTCAGAGACTAGGTTTAGTCAAACAAAAATTTAACCAATTAATGTTAAGAGTTTTATTTAGAGACGAGAAATCCAAAAAGTCCCAGTTTTTAAGGGAATTTAAAACAACAGATTTACGAATAAGGTAAATCGATGTACACAATTCTTTCTCAATATATAAATAAAATCGTATCAATGGACTTTACTGTTTCTTTATCTAGGTATATGGTTGACTCAATATAGATTAATTTAGAAATTACTTCTGCTTTTGAAAGAAAGAACTTTGCCCTTAAGGGACAAATCCCTTAATAAGCAAAAATTTAATTTACTTTTTATATTTTTGAAAACAGCATCAAGGTTTAAAGAAACTCTGTTTTGCTAATTAAAAAAAATTATTAATCTCCCCAGGTGTGTCCCAAATTGCCTACTTATGCACTATTCTATAACTTTTTGTATCATAATTACCTGGATGATGCACTCATTCAATCGGTAAAATTAAGTGTGGAATGATGAACACTTCACGCACTCAACGACTGCAGCTTTGCTCATGTAGCGGAAGGGGCAATGCTTTCGGGTGCTCATGTTGGTTAACTTTATTTTTTTTTTGATTGTGGAGGCAGTATTCTCCTACGAGAGTGATTATAGTGCCTCTCAATGGTTAGCGGTTATAATCATGGCAGGTGTTATTTGGTAGTTTGGTCATTTATTTCACTAATTTGGCAATCATCAAACATCATCAGGTAAACGGTTTGAATTTCTGCTTAGTAAAAAAACCTCAGTGTTCCATTTGGGACGACACTACACTGTAAAAAATAAATAAATAAAATTTACAGTAAAAAACCGGCAGCTGTGGTTGCCAGTACTTTACCGTTAAAAACACAGTTCAAACCTAAAAGTAATTTTAAATTTTTATGGTAAATTACCATATTTATTCATTTATAAACATTACATGTCTGTATTTTCAATGATCAACATCTACACATCTTTTGTTACACAGTTAGACACGTTAGCACACCCACATGCAGGTGATGTGGAAGATACATTAGGAACCAATGCTCATCACAATCAACTTTTCCCACAAGCAAAAAAGAGTATCATCTTATAGAAGGTGCCTAGTGTCATTCACACAGCTACTAAACACCAGTATGGTAACACACATAAAATTAAAGTCATGAAATAAACATTGTTTATCAATATTAGATGTAACATAAATCTCTAGTGTACATAACTGATGAGTAAAACAACTAAAAAGATCCATATTATTGTCAACCAAATGCATAAAAAGTTATGTGCCATGCAGGGAATTCTGGGAAGTCAATTTACATCACAAGGTGGTTTGAATGGAGCTAATAATATGCCAAAACCATCAGAATTTGAATTGTGTTAATTATAATTATTAACAATTGTAATTTAATAAATTAGATTTGTTTAAATGCCATTAATTTTTTTTTAAATTTGAATTTCTTAATTTGAATATAAATTTCTTACTTTTAATTTTTGAATTTTGAATTTGAGTTTCATAACTTTAATATTGAACATCTGAAATTTAAGACAACTGATATTTTCAAGGCTGAATTTTCATAGACGTATAGATGCATTTTCAAACTGTTTTTGTGTTCTAAATTCCTAGACTGCAGATATCGAGTTTGCACAAAATACTGTTTCAAGTTTTTCAAGATGAAGAAATTCAGAACATCAAATTTTATATTCTAAAATTCAAAGCCAGAAATTCAGATTGTGAAATTCAGATTCAGCAGAAATTAGGTCAGGGGTCATCAACAGGGAAGATAATTTATATATATATAAATTGTTGTTATTATTATTATTGTTATTATTATTAATATTTTACCTATTAATGTTATTATCTAATTTTACACCCTTTTATTTATATTTTGTTATTATTATTATTTTTTTAAACAGTCCTGCAAGTATAAAAAAATTAAGTAATGATATAATATGAACTTAAAAGTTCAAACAGGCTGCAAAAATCAGCAAAAAAAAAACAACAACAACATTTGCAATACTTCCTAAATAAGTGCTTTATAATAAATCGTTTATTATAAACCTTTTAAAAGGTACTTTAGAACTTTAGCTGACCATATATCAGCTAAATTTATTTATTTATTTAATAAATAAATATGTCATTTATCGCAGTTGTAAAATGCTGGGAAACTTTAAAAATGCACCTGGAAAAAGCTTAAAAAGTTCTTAAATGTGACTTTGGCAAAAGTGTAAGAGCTCTGTGATTGACCAAAATGTTTAGTTTGACTTTTCAGTGATCCTCTACTCTTCCCTGTTGATGACCCCTGACCTACTTTCTTTCTGAATCTGAATTTCATGATCTGAATTTCTGTTTTTTAATTTAAAATTTTGAAATTGATGTTCTGGATTTCTTCATCTTGAAATATTGAAACAGTATTTTTACAAACTGAATATCTGCAGTCAAGAAATCCAGAAGACAAAAAATCTGAAGTTTAAAAATACGTCTATAAAAAGAATCAGCCCTGAAAAATTCAGTTGTCTTAATATTCAGATGTTCAATATTTAAGTTATGCAATTCAAATTAAGAAATTCAGATTCAAATTAAGAAACTCAAATTCAAATTAAGAAATTCAAATTAAAAAGTTCAAATTTAAATTTGCAGCATTTAAATATTCAGCTTTATTAAATTACAATTGTCAATAATTCAATTAACGCAATTTCAAATTCAGATTGTTTTGGCATATTATTAGCTCTATGGTTTTGCTCTCAAAGTGTTAAGTAGGAAATGGTGCTGTTGCGTTGTCCGTATTTATATTCATTGGTTCAAGTACATTCAATAACAAACAAACAAACAAACAAACAAACAAACAAACAAACAAACAAACAAACAAAAACAAAAACAAAGCATCATCTATATCCTATGCTCCAGTCCACTCTAAGGAAGTTTAATTTCCTGCTAATTTCCCACATTTTCCCAACTGCCCCCAATGATCATTACCAGCTCCATTTTTTGATACATTATTTCCTTCAAGATTTTCCTTTCTGTTTTATATTGTTACCTTTCATAAGGATGTGCTCTACATTTTCTGTCGTATTACACTCATCACATTTATCTAATAAATTTTGCCCATTAAAGCAAGGGTGGGTTTTAATCCAGTACGTCCTAATCTTAGTCTAGTTATTATCTCTTCTTCTCTTCTGCATTTGCATAAATCTACATTTTATAAATCTTAGTATTGATTTTTAAATAATATTATTAATTTTATTTGTTTATTGTACTTGATGTCATCCATTGTTATGATTAATATATTCGTATTGTAAAGTCTTAATATTGATTTTTTTATTTATTTATTTATTTATTTTATTTTTTTTTTATTTGCAAAAAAAACAGTTGCCAAGTTTGTAACAATATTTGTTTACAATGCAGAATATGAATTACATTGTCAATGAAAAGAGATATGAGAGAGAAAGACAGAAAAATAAAATAAAAATAAAGAACAGTCTTAATATTGATTACCCTAATCATAATAACCAACAGTGACGTATACAATTGTACGTCACTAGCACGGTGCATTCTGGGTTTACTCCAAAATGGCTGCGCCCTTGCGCAAGTGTTAAAAAAACACTTATCTCGCCTGAAAGTCAAATTAACATCTTAGGTTTCACTGTGTTGATCATCATCGAGGACGACAGACAGTGCACACAAATAAATCAGTGGATTAAGGTATTTCGTGCCTGCCCTGATTCAAGCAGATTGCATTTTAAGGGACATGACGATGGGCCGCTTCGCCTAACCCACATCAAAACGCAGACCAGCGCAGATACCCCTGTCACCCTGCGCCTGCAGGCCCTGTACAGACTGATTTGTGTAATCACCCGCAGAGGCAACGGATCTACAGCTCGAGCTTTGGAGGACTGTTTATTTTGGAGGTAGCGTTACTCGTACAATTTACAAAACCCCTCAGCATTTCGACATTGTGCAAAATACCAAAACTTGTTCTTTGACACTGTGGTCTCGGTCCCCTAAATGTAAGTTATAGTGTGTGTGTGTGTGTGTGTGTGTGTTTGTGTGTGTGTGTGTGTGTGTGTGTGTGTGTGTGTGTGTGTGTGTGTGTGTGTGTGTGTGTTGTAGTTGTAACGTCAGTTTCTGTGTACGTATAGTATAGTATAGTATTGTCTAGTCTAGTCTATGTCTTTCTATCTATTACGTGTGTGTGTCACAGGTGCATACCATTACTTTAGGTCACAATTTACTGTAAAAGCAAACCATTAACCAACATTACTAGCTTGATAAACTACTAATTAGCTGTTTGTTAATAGTTAAGGTAGAAGTTAGGTTTAGGTTTTGTGTAGGATTAGGAATACAGAATAATATACGTTATAACAACTGATGAACAGTTATTATCTTAATAATTTGCAGGTAATAAGCCTGTAGTTAATGACATCAATTTTCACCTAAACTAATGTATTACTTTCGATTCAGAAAGTGAAACTCAAATTATATAGACTCATTACATGCAGACTAACATTTTTCAAGTGTTTATTCATTTTAATTTTTTATTATTTTTGCTTTCTTCTGACAGCAACCCACAGTTCATTATCTTAGAAACAAACTGTCACAACATAGGAGTTAGAGGTTTGCCTACAACTAAAAAATAATAATAAATTAAATGTAACACCTCGTTTTTAAAACAAGAGGTTTGTCGAAATCAAAGAAATGTTACATCAACAGGTCACTGCTCAGTACATCGTTTTTGGGGTCAGAGTTTGATATGCGTTTGGCACAACAGCAAAAACTTGTAGCTAAAGTTCAGTGATGGACTTAAATATTGGTTTTAGGAATCCAGTGTGGATGCACTGGGATTCAGAAGTCAGTTGAAAGGAAACACAGCAGTTGGTGGGTGGTTGCTATGTTGCTATGACAGTGCAGCCAAAAAAGATTTTTATGCAAGATTTTTATCACCAAAATTACATGGCTGAAACAGTATGTAGGCTGTGATGAAAAAGAAAAACCCTAACCAGCATGTGCTTGTCTGAAGCAGCAGGTTTGCTGTGTGTCTATTCATTCTAGTCAGGTCCTCTGCACTTCATCCCGACTGTATTTAATCCGCGTAATAAAGATTGCATGCCGCAATAAACCAGTGCGCCTAAAATGATCCAGACCATGCTGAATGAGGAGAACCCATGGGGAAACGAAAAGGAAGCAGCACACAGCAAAAGAGAAGGAGAGCTAAATGCAGAAAAAAATACTTGTCTCTATGCACCAGAATGAGGAGCATGCACACTCAATAGCTGCGTTTCCACTATCGCGCCTAAAACAAGTAAGCCAGGGTGAGCCAAGGCCAGTTGCGTTTCCACTGTCACTTCCGGGGCCTAATCGGGCTTTCTCGGGCCACTGGCCAGCCTTTTTCAGCCTGCCGAAAACCTTGGGCCAAAGAGGGCCAGCCGAGGCTTCGGGGCGGAGTGAAAGGAGAGGAGGACTTTGCCGGGGTCTGTTAAAGATGGCATGCTGTCATTACACTAGTTATCCGATCGCACACGAGTACATGTGCCAAAAAATTAAATAATTGAAAGAAAACGTATAGCTGGTCAGTTTAGGATAGGCTATTTCATAAAACACCTTATAGGTGAGGGGTCTTTTTGCTTATGATCACCCTTATGTTTCTCTTTTAAATGCAAGGCTGTTGCATAAAATAAAATAAAGTTTTAATTTATAAGTGACTTCTTTGCTGCAATATCGCATAATATTCTTTTCACCATATTAAAGACACAGCAGCCAGTAAAGGTTTTCGAGAGTTTTTGTCAAGTTTAACAAATGTGTTTGTGCGTGATGCGTGCGCATTAGATGCCTGTATGTGTGTGAGAGACCGGGCAACAGTGCTCGCTTGACAGCTCTGTTGATGCCTTGAGCGGCTTTTTACTTTTTTTAAAATGTATTTTGGAGATAATACAAAATCTGTATACTACAGAAAGACAAAACTTTACCAATTACTTGTCCACTTTTGTAGGCTCAAAACAATAATGTTATATCTTGATAAAATAATCTATATAAAAAAAATGTAAAAGGCACCTATGGTGAAAAATCTACTTTTCATACTGTTGGGACAGACGTGTGTAGTTATAGTTTATATACCATCATATTGGGGTGATATAAACACACCCTGTCCTTTTTTTAATTTAACAACATAAAAACAGTGGACCAATTGGAGCAGTTTTTAGATTGACCGCAACTTGACATAGGAGTCAGGTCCTCCCGCCCACCAATTTTGATTGACAAGTGCGCGCTACCATATTCTCAGTTTGTTGTTTCGCATCCGCCTTTTTTAAGTGTGTGAGTCAAAGCGATGTCACCAAAGAAACACCCTTGCTCTATTTTTAGATGTAAAGCCTGGTTTATACTCCGCGTCCGCTTGTTTGCTTGAGTGCACGACTGTATAGACATCTTTATGATCCCTGATCATAGAGATAATCAGATGTTCAAAAATTCTTGGCTAGAAATAGCAACAGCCGTGGGAAAAGAGAACGTTTTTGTTAAAAGGTTTGGAAAAACCTGAAGGATAAGTTTTTAAAAAACAAAACAGGCCATGGCAAAAGTGAGCCAGGTACACAATCACAGAATAAGTTTTTCCACCAGCCATAGATTTTACACTGATTTATATATACACAATTATGAATTTAAAACAATTTAATAATTACAAAACTATATTTAAGGAGCAGATTATTAGTTTGATAACTGGAAAGGAATTTTTGAACATATTCTTTTACAATAAACTGATGCTGTTTCTCTAGGCTTTATTGGTTATAATCGTCAGGCATGTTTTACTATTATTGCCTTTTTAGCATGATAAAGGACAGAAACTAGCCAAACAGTAATGTTTGAATTGTGGAGTGGGCTAAAATCTAATAAAAACATCTGTATTTTTAAGTAAGTGTGCTCTTTTATGTTGCTTTTATTCTTGCCAAATTTAAAATGTATTTGTAGAGCAGCCCACGTTCTGTTGTCATTAATATTTGAATAAACTTTAATAGCTAAAACTGTCCGAGCTATGAACAAAAGCAAGTGATGCATCAAAGTTTGATTTAAAAAAAATCTTGGAATTGTTATAAAAATCCTTATAAGCATTAAAATAATTTATAAAAACAATAAAAACAGTTAGCCTTAAAATACTGAATGAAATTAATGATATGATGTAGTTTCGGAAACTTTCTACTTCTCTGTTCATCCGTCTGATTTTAAGGTCAGTTTCTTTTGACAGCCCCCTGTTGTTTTAAAGAATATCACAAAGACGAACGCGGTGTGTTTAAAAGCTTAGCCCGTTTCACGAGGTGCGAGTGCAGTCAGCGGAGGTGCTCGATTCGGGGCCTGGCAAGTATAAATATAGCTTAAGGCTCATTGGGCTCAACACAAGATCAACATTCACCACATGATCGCTCTCATCGGCGTTATTGTTTGTAACCTTAGGTGGGTTTGCAAACGTGTACTTTTCATTGCGTCTTCCTTAAAATTCAGCCGTTTGTATTTTTCACAGAAGCTCCCTGTCATCTTAACTAGGTGCGGCTTTTAATAACTGATAGAGACAAGAGTCAATTTTGAGAACAGGTTTTTTTTTTTATCATATAAAGCTTTTTCCTAGTGCCCATAAAGGTAATAACTGATACTGGGGTAGTTTTCATTTCATTGTGCTCTATTGAAACCCATCTCACATCACTGGTCTTTGGGTGCAGCCAGATTCACAATGAGCGAAACTGTGTTGCTAGAAAATAAAATCTAAAATTTGGTCTGCCTTTAGCATATGGTGTCAGGAGCATGGTTAAACTTACCCTTGGGGTTTTCTTATGCCATAAAAATGTAGATATGGCTTTGTCAAGATCTTTAAAGAAATACTTAGGAATTTTAAAAGGGATACGATATAATAAGTAAATGAATTTAGGGAGTATGTTTATTTTTATTGTATTAATTCTACCAATTATTGATAAAGGCAAATCTATTCACCTCTGAAGGTCAGTTTTACTTTGGTTCAGCAACCTTACATAATTATCATGATAAACAGGGCTTTACATTAACACCCGCCAACCTGCCAAATGCGGGTAGATTTCAGCTCTGGCGGGTTAGACAGACACCTCTACTAGCCACTTTGGCTGGTTGGAAATCATTTTTAAATTGTAGTATTCTTAAAAGCAGGGTTTGACAATAAGCATGGCACAGTATTCGTGCAAATGTGATCTTAGAATCGAGAAGCAGCATGACTGACAAAAATAACTGTGTTCGCGCGAGCAAAACAACAAAAAAGAAGGTAAATACCAAACGAGAGGATGATCACTCGCACGCACAGGTGATGTGATGTGCACGACTGTTAAAAAGCGCTTGCTCCCATTTACTCGCGTGAATCCTACGTCTAGAGCAGGGGTGGGCAATCTCGGTCCTGGAGGGCCGGTGTCCTGCACAGTTTACCTGCAATACTAATCAAACACACCTGAACATGCTAATCAGTGTCTTTAAGATCACTAAATATCTATAAGCAGGTGTGTTTGACTAGTGTTGGAACAAAACTCTGTGCGATTGTTTCCCTTTGAAATAGATTAGACAAAGTGCGATGATCATGCACCCTCAGTCCTGCTGCTTTCGAGAGCTCAAGCCTCAAGATAAAATAAAAAACACATACTTTTGTAAGCAGCAGCAGTCACTGCTTTTATTTTAAATATTCTTTAAACAGATTAACAGGGCTATGTGCATGTGATCATCCTTTCATTATCACACACAGTATGTTTCACCTTCTTTCTTTTGCTCAGTTAGTTTTGTTACTATGGTTTAATCATATTTTTTTTTACAAAAAATTAGCTTTAATCGAGATTACTCCCCGTTTGTAGTTAACAGCTGATCTGGGACTTTTAGCCAGGAAAGATTACTGTGCATATTTTAGATACATGAC